TAGAAACAACGTAAAAAGAAAATGTGTTGCAATTAACAATATAATGCAATATTTATTTATTATTTCTTTATAACGTTGTTTAATTATGAAGTAATTTTCTGGTTTCCGCGTTGCACACAAACTGCATACAAATGATGATGGTTAATTTTCTTAGATTTTTTTAATCTTTAGTAAATTGTTTCGATTAGCTATGAATAAATTTTTTAAATTTTCATTATATTTTTTTTTTCATTTATTCTCTATCTCTAGCAAAATGTCAAACACAAAACAAAACATCAAAAATATTCACAAACAAAAAAACAAGCAACAAAAAACAATACAATTATCATTGGCAAACATCATTATTCATTTGCGATTCATGAAAAATCATTTTCACTCGTTCTCTTTTATTTAAAACTGAAAAAATTTTATATGCACCTTGATTAATTAATTTCTACACTTTTTTTATTATGTTTCAACAATTATTTTAAACGCTTCAATTATTTGCCATTTTAATTAACAAACACGCATATTGTACTCGTTTTTTTCTGCTTCTTTTCTATAAATTATGTTTTTTTCTTAATTCTTTTTAATTATCTCAAATTTCTACACGCAAAATAATTTCTCGTAGTTTAACAACAACATAACATTGATTTCAATTTAATGACTGAATTCATTTCGTGGAATTCATCATCGAAAACACAAATGTGGATTTTACATTGCATTGTTGTATTTTATTGGTAGTTAAAGTGTGGTGGACATAAAATAACTACAGGGTAGTTCAGATATATAATTTTTATTATGTGGTGGATTTCTTTTTTCTTTATGGTAATTTTTTGAAGTTTGGTTAATATTAATTGCACAAAACATTGTTTATTTATACATTTAAATATAAATAAGTTTTGGTATATGGTTAAGTAGCCGGGCTTGACAAAAGGGAACAGGTGCTACATAGTCAGGATCTTCTAATATTGTTAGTTAAATGGACAAATCTGGCAATTTTAAACGATCGGGATTAAGTATTCATGTAAGAAGGCAAGAAGTATTCATGTTTTGAAAATGGTCTGCAAAAATTCTCCAGAGTCAGAGTCACCCACTCAGAGGTCCAAGCCGTGTGAAAATAGTCGGCGGCGGCGGCTGAAGTAAATTTAATCGGCGGCGGCTCTAAGCCGGCTGAAGCCGATACAAATTATAAAAATTACAAATTATACCAATTTGGTATTCATTTTTTAAGTAATTTTTATTACAAAACTTAAAAAAACAAGTTTAACAAGTTACAGGTACATGTAGAAGGCTACATTTAGACTTATTTAATAAAAAAAATAATAATACCATTGGGATTTATTATAACTTTTGCCATTTTTTTACTGCCATTTTTCTTTTAAATAGATCATTATAATGGTTAATATCATATGAAGGGGATATATATTTCATATAATTTTCTTCTTCAGATTCAGAATCTGAAGATATTTCCGGAATATTTTGTGATTCTTTTAAAAAGTAGCTCCGAATATTTTTTTGGGCCATTTTGCAATTAAATTATTTTATTTTACTTTTTTGCAAAAAATAACGGGAGCAAATTTGCGTCGCTTAGAGTTGCATATTTTAAATGTTACCATATTTAATTTTTTGTTTTAATATTATAGAGCTGCCAATTTTTTTTATATTGTTCTTAATTCATTTATTTCATTTATAAGCCATTGACCAGTTAATGAATAACATTACTTCACACTTTGTAAAAATTATTGTAACATAATAACAATTTAATAAAAACTATATAGTATATTTTTTTATTAATTTTTACCGACTTAGCTGGATGAGTCGGCTAATGAAGTTAGCCGGTTTCAGCCGATAGAATCGGCGGCGGCTTTTACCGAAAAAAAATTTCGGCGGCGGCGCCAAGCCGGCTTGGCGCCGATCGACTTGGACCTCTGCACCCACTTATCCATCACTATTCACCATTTTTTAAACCATAACAGATGATTGTCAAATCTCACAAAACAAATGCAAATTCATACAAGATGGCTTCTCTTATACAAGTTTAAGCATTTGAAATGTCAAACTCCGTATAAAAAAAAACGTTGTAATCGCTTTGTTTTGCACTAATTATGCTTTAGTTATTCTTCTTAAAACTTTTAAAAATAAATTTAAATTTTGTTTACAATTTTGTTTATTTGTTATTTAAAATTGTAACGAAATGGAACAAATAACAAAAGAACAAGAAGACCAAGCCTCAAGCACACAAACTAATCCTTCCGGGACAGAATTGGCCGAAGCAGAACATAAAACAGAAAAGCCTTCTGGCAATGATGATGATGAGGAATTGGATATTACAAGTGAACATTTCAATCCTTTAAAGGCTTTATATGATCCCAACTATCGAGTAACAGAAAAACAGCCCAAAATTATCTATCAGAATATGGCAGCCTTTGAAACGGCTCTGAAAAAGTTTGGTATAATGGGTTTAAATAAAAAACCTAAAACTAACTTGGCGGCAGGCAGCAAAGATAACAAAAATCCCTTATTAGTAGAGGAGGAAAGAACACAGAGACGTTTCCAAGACCATCAAATGGCCATCAGAACACAGGCGAAAGTTAAACAAAAACATCAAAGAAACATTCTAATACAAATGGCTCAATCAGAAGGACCTATCAAACAATTGCAGGAATTTGTTAAAGAAAGCCGCAGGATAAGAGTTCTAGTAAGAAAAGAACATGGCATTAAAGGCTATATTGAAGGAGAACTAAAAATGTTTGATCGTCATTGGAATCTTTTGTTAGCCGATGTGCTAGAATGCTTTGAACAGCGTAAATATAAATATGCTGAAGATAATTTAGTTAACCATCAACAGCCCGAAGATTGTTCTTATATTTTAGAGCAATTAGGTATAACCCTGCCGCAACAGAGTGTTAAAAGTTTGTCGAGAAAACGTGTGGAGGTTAAAAGACATTTGCCACAACTTCTATTAAGAGGGGAACAAGTGGTTTTAGTATCCGCTAAAGTTTCAACTTAATGTATAAATTGTTTTACTTTTATTGATTTAAGTAAATACCTAGTTTAAGATTATTTTTTCTACTAAATGAAGTTAATTTTTTTTATATACTTTACCTAGTTTTTGCAAAAAACGGTTTCTAATCTATTTGAATTTTCTTTAAAATTATTTTTAAGAAAACTTTAGAAATATAACTAAATATTGTATAAAATTCTTTAAATTAAAACAAAAACAAACATTTCCATTAACTTGTATTTAAAAGTTATATTTATTTTTTACTAAAATAAAAATTATTAGCGATAATAGTAAATTAATTACTAATTTATGAAAAACTGTACATAAGAATTAAAAAAGAAAACTTTGTAAAAAATGGGAAATACGCCTGCGTCAAAATAAATGTCAAATTAACAAATTATTCCTGCTCCACAGTGGGTATATTAAATACTTGTCGTACTGCCTCAAAGTTCTTGATGTTGAAGACACGGCAACGTGGAGGTTTCTCACCGCCAAACGCCAAAGTGAAAGGATCTTCGGGACACTGTTTCATACACTGCAAACGTCCCATTTGGAAGTCATGTGAGTAGACCGGCTTAATTTCGGCAGTATTGAAATTCCAGATTTTCAGACAACCCTCTGTAGAGGTGGAGGTTAGCAGATTCTTTACCTCGGAATTGAAGCAAATGCCAGAGATTTCCTCTTCGTGGGCCTTGTAAGACCATAATAATTTTTTGGGTTGACGTTTGTCAGCATAGTGTAAGGAACCCTCATTGGAGCCAATAATAAAGTAATTACTATCACAAGTATTCCAGAGAACCTTTTCAACTTCTCCAGGTATTTGCCATTTGACAAAGGAGGTGTTTACCTGTTCTGGATCACGGCAATCGAATAAACGCACTAAACCATCAGCAGAGCCGGCCAAAATGCTTTGAGCTTCCTCAGGATGGAAACCAATTGACTGGACTTTCTCTTCAAAAGCGGTTATAGTAGTGTGAGGTTGTCCTTCATCCAAATCCCATAGAATTAAAGTTTGATCTACTGAACCAGAAGCTAAAATATGTTCATATTGACGATTCCAGGACAAATCTAAAACAGCATCTTTATGACCATAGGCTTCTTTGTTCTTCTTACGACTGCCTTTCGAACCCAATTTAAAGGTGGGCTCTATAGAGTCTTGTATATCTAAATCCCATACAGTGATTACAGGATCCATACAGCCTATGGCACACATATTGCCAGGTTTATCACTGCCAGGATCATGATTCATCCACTCAATACACAAAGGAAAACTGGGTAATAGGAAATCATGATGAGTATATAAACTTTCCTCTTCTTCATTGAATACCCAAACTTCCATACTGGCAGCATCATCTTGTACATGACCCACCAGCAACAAATTGTCGGTAGGTTTTATAATTTCATCTTCTGCCTCAGAGTCATCATCCTCATCGGGTAATTGATGGTCGGGGTCCACAATATTACCAATATCAGCCACTCTAGGATTACCCTCATTGTCATAACGATCAAAAGCAAACTCATCATCAGGATTACGATTCTCATTAGTCTCCTCATCTATATCATCATCGTCCTCTTCCATTTCATTGTCAACATCCATTTCATTTTCTTGCTGCTCCTCTTCATCGTCATCTTCGGCATCATCGTCATTATCACTATCCAAACGATCTTTGGTATCTTTAATAACTCTAGCCAATTCTTCTTGTGTCAAAACAATTTTGTCCGGCTTTTCTTTGGCTATACCGCGAGGTACAAAGCAGATAGCGGGCACAAAATCAATAGTTGCCTCAGCTGGTCCCTCTTCTTCCATGGTGTGGTTTTGTTTTTATTTCTTTTCAAAAATAAGAAATTAAACTATTTGTCTTCCAAAAACGCTGTTGCACTTCTTTCTGCTGGCCAATAATAACAAAATGTAAACACGTGCTTGTCTGCTGTCAGTTCAGAGCCCTGCGCCGACAAATATTAACAGCGGCGGCGACTGACACTAAATATGTCGGCGGCGGCTTAAAATCAACTGTAAGCCGGCTAAGTTTTCAACTACGTTTAGTTTTTAATTTTTCTACGATTTTAAATAGAAACGGAATGCGAGAGATCAGAAAGTGGGATTTTGGAAGCAAATATATTGTTTATAACAACAAAACAGAGCAAGCTCAAAAGTTGTGTGAGAAATTATGCAGAGATGAATAAAAAATTCTTAAAAATTAAAAACAAATCCTTTCTCCAAGTTTTACTAGGATCTACCGATATTTAACCCTATCCTCCATATAAAACATATTGCAGAAAATCAGTTTCTAAAAAGTTTTGCATTAAGAAAATGATCAATAACGTAAAAACAAAGATTTTTTATTTGTTTATTTACTAGCTATACCTAGTGTGCTACCCTAAAAGCAATATAAATAAGAAACCCACTTAACGATTTTGATGATTCTAACTACAATGGTTTTCCAGATATACAATTTGTTACATATGGGAGATTCCACGCAAATTATTGCAATTTCGCCAATTATTCCGAACGTTAATTAAGATTTTAATTTAATCTATGAAAAATTTGAATAATCTAATAGCTTCCCAGATATACAAAATTATATGGGAAGTGCCAAGCCCCCCATTGAGAGGCCGCCCGTTATTCTCTAAATGTTCTTCAGTAAAATTTGAAGATTCTAGCTCTAATAGTTTCTCAGATATACGAATTTTTCTATTTAATTCAAGCCCCCCAGATGAAAGTCCGCCCTTTTTTCTCCAAAATGTTCAGATGAATATTAAAGTTCTTCTTGCAAAATTTTAAGAATTTAGTTCTATCAGTTTCCCAGATAAACGAATTTTTGTATTTAATTCATATGGGAGGTTCCGCTCCCCTCATTGGCAGTCCCCCAATTTATTACCCAAAATGTTTACATGGATGTTAAAGTTCTTCCAGAACAACATCATTTAAAGGGATCACAAAGAGATTGAAAAATATACCAAAAGTTTCACTTTGAAAACATTATTAGAGTGTATGAAAACTCGCAACTCTAAAGGCAGACTATTCCTATTTTAGCGGTAATTTATGATTAAAATAAGTTAGAAGTAAGAGTTATATTCGGTAAATCATATGTCGTAAAAAAGCAAATTTTGGAAGTGTTCATATACATATATATATGAACTTTGATCATTAGATTAATAAGAACGTCACCGTGATTTTCGGATTAGGGGCTTAAATGTGGAATTGGATCAATTATGGACAAAGTTCTCTATAATTTAAAGTATTGTTTTTAATTCTACCATAATTCTATCATAATGATAACTTTTGGAATGATGTATTAGCTATAAACTGATTTTCTGTAAGAGGGTTATATTGGCGGACCGATCCTCATAATTTTATTTTTCATAAATGTAGGTTTCGATTCCTAAAAATGTTTTTTTCGTAGACATCGACATTTGAAAGCCATTTATGTGCGTTTAAGTCATTTTCTGAAGAAGATTTCATATACATATTTACATTACATATTTTCGTTCCAACAAAAATTGTTTTATTATGGTATTATTAAGTACATAGAAAACGTTAAAATCAATTATTGAAGGGGGCAGGGTCAATTATGGCCTATATAGATTTCGATTGATATCGAGCCCTTTTTGCAAAATGGATGTAAGCGAGATAAATTTTCGTTCAATTAGGATACTGCGTGTTTAATTTTATGTTTATATATTCAATATTTTAGAAAATTCAAAAAGTACCAGTTAAAGAACGAAAAATTACCAGAAATACTCCATTTTAAATTTTCATTCACTCAAGTCTATGATTGCTTAGTTTTGTGTTTTTAGGTTCATTATAATAGAAAATTCAAATAGAACCAGTTGAAGAACGAAAAAGTTCCAAAAAGTCCCGTTTTATATGTTCTCACTTACTCCATGCCCTACAGGTTTAATTTTATGTCTATATGTTCAATATTGTAGAAAATTCAAAAAATACCTTTTGAAGAACGAAAAAGTACCAAAAAGTCCCCTTTTATATGTTATCACTTAATCCGGGCTGTACATTCCTAATTTCATGTTTCTAGGTTCAATATTATAAAAAATTCAAAAAGTACCAGTCGAAGAACGAAAAAGTACCAAAAAGTCCCCTTTTATATGTTATCACTTAATCCGGGCTGTACATTCTTAATTTCATGTTTCTAGGTTCAATATTATAAAAAATTCAAAAAGTGCCAGTCGAAGAACGAAAAAGTACCAAAAAGTCCCTTTTAAATGTTATCACTTAATCCGGGCTGTACATTCTTAATTTCATGTTTCTAGGTTCAATATTATAAAAAATTCAAAAAGTACCAGTCGAAGAACGAAAAAGTACTAAAAAGTCCCTTTTTATAGATTCTCATTTACTCCAGGCTCTAAGTGCTTAATTTCATGTATCGAGGTTCAAATTTTGTAGCAAGCTCAAAAAGTACCAGTCAAAGAACGAAAAAGTACCAAAAAGTGCCATTTTATAGATTTACATTTACTCCAGGCTCTACGTGCATAATTTCATGTTTCTATGTTCAATTTAATAGAAAACTCAAAAAGTACCTTTTGAAGAACGAAAAAGTACCAAAAAGTCCACTTTTATAGATTCTCAAGTGCTTAATTACATGTTTCTAAGTTCTAAGTCAAAAAAGTACCAGTTGCAACATCGTATTGGGAGCCCGTTATTATGTATTCATATGTATAAGTTAATTTTCTAGTTTAGGATATTTGAGGTTACCGAATTTACGTTTTTACACTTTTTAACCCCCAAAAAAATCGAATTTCCAAAAATCCCGTCTTATTGGATACATTTGGTGGGAGACCAACCTCCTGCCCAAATTTCAGCTCTTTAGCTTCAAGGTTCTAGGCTCTACGATAATGAATCAGTTGACGTCAACGAAGCTGGTTTGAAGTAAAAGCAGCGACTCGAATTAGGCGCGTAAAACACGAAAATATCTGAGGCGAAGCATATACATCGAACGTTGAGCAAAGTTCTACACCGGTCAAATTTCAATGAGCGGCTTATTATTAGATAAAAGAAAACTTGCTTAAATGAAAACAAATTAATTTTATTTCGTAAAATTCCATAAATTTAGCGAAAGTTTAATGTAATTGTACAAAATATGGCGAAATTTTCAAGCCGTATTAAGCTGAAAAATTTCGTCGGCGGCGGCGGCTTTGAGATTTTGTTCGGCGGCTAGGCTTAGTCGGCTTAAGCCGAATCGGCGCAAGTCTCTGTGTCAGTTTAAGGTATTTTCAGACTACAATACTGAGTATTAACACACTTCAAATTAAAAATATTATGAAAATAATTCGCATTTTCAAAAAATCAATCCGAAAAATACATTTTATGTTTTATGTTTTGAATTGTTTTAAAAAATTTATGAATACCGACCGTATGCCAAAAAAATCAGTAATATTTTTGAAAATCAAATTACAAATTATATTTAGACTAGTAAATTGTATTATGATACAAATATTCTTGACAAGTATTAATACTCAGTATTGTAGTCTGAAAATACCTTTACTTTGCAATATAATTAGTGATGACAAAAGCAATGAATTAGAGATGTTGTTTTAACGATAGTATACTACAGGGTTGTATTTAGTTTTAATAAAGTTTGCATTATGTTATGAAAATTTTTTAGAAAATTAAAGAAAAAAAGGAAAAATTGTTAAGTATGAAGAAAACTTTAATTTAAAATTGTAACAAATTTAGTTAAACTGAGTTAAAATTTATTTATCTGAATATTTTATAAGACAACATTAACACATTTCTATTTGTTTCTAAGCAAATAGAAAAACAAAACAAACCTCACGCAACATGTTTACACTAATGACATTAAAGAACTTGTATACAAAATTAATCGGTTCTATATATACATACATAATTAAAAAGGTAGCGTTAATGAGTGACATGATTCTGATCGCCCAGCCAAACGGCTGAATTTAGAATCATGATTTTGATACTTCTTTTTTTCATAATAACTTTTAAGAACCGTATTCAAACACCATTTTTGAACATTTTTTCATTTTTTAAATGGTACTTATTGAATTTTCTAAAAATGTGTAGAGTACTCTTTGGTACTTTTTTGTTCTTTAAATGGTACTTTTTGATATTCTTACCCCGTCTTCAACTTCGCTGTTCATTCAGTTTTAATTTATACTATATAATGTTCATTTATATTATATAATGTTCTGGGTTCCTATAGATAGCGCAGTCGATTAAGCCATGTCCGTCTGTTAGTCCGTACTTATGTATATATGTTGAAATCAGTTGTCTGAAGGCCTAGATATACATGTGAAATCCAAATCTAAAGTCTTTTATATCGTCCAGGGATTAATAAGGTTCGAAATTATTGGAAACGGTCTAAATTTTCATAAAATCCCCATATAAATGTACAAACTTCCGGAAAATGGATTTATTGTTAATAACTTCCTCTATAATATAATACCACAAAATTTTGCACATATAAATTGAATATCAATAGAAATCGTATTAACAACTAAAACCTGGTTCGGTTCATATGACGATATGGCTTTCGAATATCTATTAAACAAACTTAATGTATTAACAAATAACCATATCGGGACAAAATTTGGCTTAATTATATTATAGGTATAACTCTCCGATCTTGAAAAAATTTATACCACATATAAAGCTTTCAATTCTATGACTTGTGATATATGTCTTTTGGTCAACAAATGTATAGTTTTGGAGTTATAGACCTTCAAAGTTAAATTTATATATATTCAATATCTTCTCTAATTATGAACCGATCCTGACAATATATATATCGTTAGAAAGAGCTTTGAAATACCTCTTCAAAGATATATAATATGACCCTTTAATTAATCCTTTGAGAACAAATTCCACAAAAAGTATTTTTTATATAGAGTTTTTTGATGAAAGTGTAAAGTTATATCGATGGATTTACGAAAT